ACAGTGAGTTTAAGGCCAGCTTGACACAGCAAGACTCTGTCTCCCCCCCAAAGAAGTTATTATGTCTTGATAGTTATTCATTCTCATTTTATATTTTCTTTTTGTAAATCTAGTCTGTACATTTTTGATTCATAGACCAGATGAGTATACATGTAATGTGTGTATGTATAGTATATATTTATGTATAGTAAGTAGGGAAGTTTAGTGAATGCTTCTTTAACCCTTGAGCATAAGTATAAGGGTAAAAATATCTTTCCCTTACCATCAGGAATAAAATATGAACAAGCATAAGATATGCTCAGAGAACTTGTAATATGTACCTAGTTTTAGACTACAGGGCAGCCTATATTTTAATACAAAATATATCAAGGATCTGATGAAGGTAGGCACATCAAAGTGTGTGTCAAGTAGACCAAATGAAACCTCAGCACAGTGAGAGGGTTGAGGAGATGAGATTTTAATTTTCTGAGAGTCTTGAGTATGTTTTACAAATGACTGGGACTGTTGGACCAGTAAGATATGTGTGGGTTGTGTTACTTGTTTGCTTTTTAATTTTGTTTTTGTTGTAGTTGCTTGTGCATCACATGTGTGCATGTGCTCATATGCATTGCAGATATAGCTCTTAAAACCCAGTCCACAGTAGAAAATCTGAGATTTATCATTTATTTATTGTACTACCTGGGGCATTCTAGACTGTGTACTGATTCTTATTTAATGAGTTGCTTGTCTTATCTTCAGAGAGGTATAAACTTGAACCCTTTAAATTGGTCTCTACTTTGGCTTAAAACTGTATTGGAAAACTTTTCAGAAATCACAGTATTCCATGTAATTTTCTGGCATTTTTTTTCCATATAAAGTGCTTCACTCAAATGCTCAAATATCTTAATAACCCTATTATATGTGGCAGCGGCAGTAAGAATATTTATAAAGCTTGAATTTGCCCTTGCAAATACCTAATCAAATAATATCTATTGGAGTATAATGGTCCACCCTGTGGTCACACACAAAATACCTCCCCCTGGTGTGGTGAAGGGCTTTCAGGGGAGTAAGTAGCACCTTTAAAGATGTAATAGTTGAGAACTTAAGAAAGGAACTGTTTACAAATGTGTTGCTAGTTTAAAAGGAACCGGGAAGGTTGAGAAGGAAACCCTGGGTTAGCAATAGTGGGAATCCATTTCCGCCCTCTTCCTGAAAGAACAAGAAGGGAGAGTAGCTGCTAAGACCAAGAGGCAGCCACAGCAGTAGTTTGTGGAGCACCAGAGCTGTGCCTTCATAGCTGTGGTTTTCATAGAGGAAGACAGAGCCTGGTAATGTGTGGTATGGAGGGGAAGGTGTGAAAGGGGCCATGCCTGGAACTCTTGCCTCAGATCTTTCTCTCTTATAAGCACCTCCTGTTGGTGCCGGAAGCCAAAGTACATGGCAGCCCATCAGATTCAATCCAGGGGCAAGGACAGAGGGCAGATCTGGAGGGGCAAAGTAAAGGCACAGCGTTGGCGACTCGCCCGCTAAGAACAGACTCACGTTGTGCTTTTTGGCTTTGCTCCCATATCACAACAAACACCTGGAAATTAGAGTTCTTGGAGAAACACCTTGAAATAATGAGATGTTTAATTCTATCACATGAACTAAGAAAGACTTTACTAGAGAAAAATATAATGATTATTATTATACGGGTACAGTGTAGAATTATAGGCATGCATATCTGTCCCTGTAATAGGCTTTTTCTAATTTATATTTGTACTTTGTTAAGAGCAGTAATTGCTGATACTTTTGGCAACATGCAAGAGAAAGTTATTTTCTTAAAAGAAAAAACAATAAAAGAGGATATATGCATTGTATAGGAGAATAGTTGGAGAGCCCCCAGAATAGAGGAAAATGTTCCTGATCTAAATTCTAATGGGCGAGGCAGAGCAAAACAAATAGACTTTATTAAATCATGTGCAAGGAAACTTTGACTTAACGGGGCCTATCAATAACATATGTTACAGCCATCAAAGATGTTGATTTAGGTTGATGGGGTGAGCATCTATAAATGAATGTTTGAGGAGTTTCTCTTGTGGAATTGGAAATTGAACCCAACTTCCTAACATTTTATTTCTCCTGCCTTATAATGATGGAAAGTCAGTAACCTCCAGGTCATGATCCGGAGTCCCTGCTGTTTCCAGGTCTTCCAGTGATTTTCCTGTCACGTTCTTCAGATTGTATTTACCACCACAAAGCAACAGCCTACAGCCGTGCTGGTTGTCAAGTGTGTCGCACTGTCAACCATCCATAAATACAGCGTGTCATCCAGAGGCAGTTGAGAAGACTCAGAGTAGAAAAAAATATAAATATCACATAAGGATGGGAAGTAGAAACTAGACAGGACCCATGGAGGGCTTCAAACCCCTCATAGCCAGGGCTTTGAGGTTTCTATCCATGGTCTGTTACCTGATTTGGAGGAAGGTGAAGTAAACATGTTCTATTTGTGAAAATTGGGCAAGCTGTAGAATTGTGATACATGTAATGTTCTCTGCATGTGTCCTACTTTATCAAAAGATAGGTGGGGGATATGTGCACATGTCCATGTGTTCTCACCAGTCACTGCTCTTGGGTGCCTGTCTGCAGAGTGGGAGATGGGAACCCTCTTGCCTAGAGACTTCTGATTGGGTTTTCACCTGGTCATGGGAGACAGCCAAGTGAACACCTTGGAAACAGACACTTAGACTTAAAAAAAAAAAAAATTAGTATGAGTCAGTTTTAGGAAGATAGCTCCTAGTGTCCCTAAAAGTAGAGAGTTGAATCACTGAGGCTTTGTGTCCTTGAGGGCAATTAGTTATGTCATCTACATAGTTACTAAGGCGAGGGAGCTTTAGGAAACCTACCAAGATTAGTTAAAATAAAGGATTTACCACTTGAAGGTGAGCTTATAAAATGAAGCCCACCCCCATAATGCTGAAAGCAAATGTATTATTTTACTGCCTTTGGGGGGGTTCTTTTGGTTAAGCTGTATTTAATCAGGAATTTCATTTAAACAAGTCACCATATTCCCAGTTACTCCACATAATCAAAGTTTTGGTAAAATGTGACATCATCCAGAAGTGAACTTTGGTGTAAAGAAACATTATACCTCGATTGTTTCACAAATGTAGAAACAGTAGAATCAGAGCCAGGAGGGCTGATAAAATAGAATGTCAGAGCAATAAGAAACATTAGAAATAATTTGGCTTCAGTCCTGCCACTCCACAATAGAGGAAATTAGGCACAGAGAGGTTAGATTGATTCCCCGCGCACACGAAGATTATGCTGTGACTGATTTGCAACAAGATGTGCAATCTCCACCTTTGATAATCTGTGCTCTTCACTCAGTCTAGCAATGAAGTACAGGGTCTGGAGTCAGACCAACTTGGTTCAAATATTAGCTCCTACGTTTGCCTGTTGGGTGTGACTCTGGTGGCAGTTCCTATCCTACCAGAAAACATTGCCTGGATGTTATTCCAGAGGTGTAGACCCTGAGGTGTTGCGTAGAGCACATCCTAAGGGAAAGTCTTTAAAACAGAACTCTCTCAATTCCCGGAACAACAACAACAATAAAACCAGAACTCTCCTGGGCTGGGGTGGGATAGCTCAGGCGGAGAGTTGGACAGCATGTTATCCCCTTTATTCCCTTGGTACGGGAAGGAGACCAAAAGGAAGAAAGGCCTCCACAGTGGACGCTGACCCAGTGCTTGTGGCCACCGCCGCCTTCAAGCTTCACTGCCTGGTGGAACTGTGCTTTGCTTCTTTCTGCCTGCAGAATGCTCCTTACCCTGAGAATTGCTGGGGTGATCGGTATGGCATTGGGGTGTTGTCTCTTTTCTTAATTGCCAGTCTACAGATGCTGAGCATGCTTTGTACTCCCAAGGGTCATTGAGTTCTGTAGCCTAATTGTGAGTGTTCTCTGAGTTTGTACCTGAGTGTAGACTCTCCAGGGAGATAATAATAGCACTCAAGTTAAAATGCTGCAGTGGTAATCCCAGCACTCAGGAGGTTGAGACAGGAGGATCATGAGCCCAAGGCCACCCTTGACTACAGAAAGAGTTCAAGGCCAGCCTGAACTGCATAGTGAGAGTCTGTCCTGCAACCCTCTCAAAGATTTTTATGGTAATGCAAAGACGTTACATCTAAGAGTGTATAGTGAGATGCTTGACTTGCATTAACAAATGCTACCCACAACTATTATTCACCTGCACCCCAACAGACATTGGGCATTGACATTGTCCAGAACTTTGACCACTGTGTGATTTTAGATGGGTTTCTTTTTAGAAAATATATTACTTAGAAACAATGGCTTTGGGGAAAGCACTAGACAGTAGGAAGAAGTGCATTTAGAAACTGAGTCTTACTGAGGTATGGAGAGACAAATACATGGTTCACTTAGGGTTTTTTTAAAGCCTGACCTTTGGTTTGAAAAACCTAAGGTCACATTCCTGTTTTATCATCATTAAGAGATGTCAGTGAGGGGCTGGAGTGGGATAACTCAGTGGAAGAGCATGGTTTCATATGCATAAGGCCCCAGATTTCAACCTCAGCACCAAAAAAAAAAAAGAAGAAAGAAAGAAAAGTCAGAGAACAAATTATATTATTGTATTATATCGAGCCTCTGTTTCCTCATCTTTTGAATGAGGTTACACTGGGTATGGGGCCAGTTTACTCAGGAGCCTGAGGCAGGAAGATCCCTTGAGCCTGCATGTTGGAGGCTATACAGGGCAACATAGTGAGATCCTATCTCAACAGCTACCATAAAATTTTTAAAATACATGTTTTAGAAAATGAGGCTGATAATACCTATTCGGTGTGTGGCTGTGGAGTTCAAGGGAGGGAACATGAGGAGGTTGAAGGGTTTGTTGGGGATGAACTCTGATGCATGTTCCCCTCTCTTTCTAGTTTCCATCTTGCTGCTGCGAAAGGACATGCAGAATGCCTCCGGGTCATGTTTACACACGGTGTGGATGTGACAGCCCAAGACACTACCGGTATGTGGTTTTTTAATCACTTAAATCAACAGACTGGCAGGACAGTATCACAAAGGTGGTGATACATACTCGTGGAACAGTTAAAGTCTACAGATAAGCCAAAAGAAAGAAAATAGAATCACGTCTAATAGTCTCTGACATGGTTTCATCACTTGTCTATACCTTTATAAGTATTTTCTTCTTCTGTGTCATTAGTCACTAGAGACTGTATGCTTCTTATCCTCTTTTGATATTCTTTCCAAAGATTATATGTATGAACCAAGCAGTATTTCCTAATTTTTGTCTTTATGAATCACAGTGTAAGATGATAAATGGGGTGAATTCTTCAGTAACACATTTCATCAATTAGCTGAAATGAGCTAGTTGTGGACAAAAGCCATGATCTTCATCTTGACTGGCTGCCCAGGACCCTCAGTCTTTACTGCACTGTACTGCGTGTAAATCACCAGTATTATTTCTCCCATTAAAGGCTCTTAAGAAGCATTTTTTTGGTAGCCATAACATGTCATACGGGGATAGTTTGTTTTTACCAGTGGAGCCCTAGCTGGGTTTCTGAGAGCCTGGTATAGCGCTAGCAGCAAGGTCTGGATATACCAGCTCAGTGCCCACTTCCTTGCAGACTGGGATGACCTGGTCCTCCAAGGAGTTCGGGAGAAGCCCTCAAACCCGTCATGGAGGCTTCTCAGTGCTGGTTGGGGCGCTGATTGAAATCGGTTCACTGAAGCACTTTGTGGCCCCACAACCTTGTTCAAATGTTCCATGGATTGAAGAAGTCTCAGAGCTTCCAGTCCTGTTTCGTTTTCCGCTGTTTTTTGCGAGGAGGCTAACACTTTGCTGTAAATGAAGCACTAGCCTTTTGTGATAATTTCTTGAAAGTCTGCAAAGAAAACACAGAGACAAAAGAAGGGAAAAGGTGCATGGAAAAAAAAAGTGCCTGGAATGACTTCGTGTTATCTAGAAGAACTGTTAAACTCTTTCTGTTAAAAAAAAAAAAAAAAAAAAAAAAACAGATAAATTGTGATGGCTTTAACTGCTTATCTCATGCCTTTCCGGTTGGCTATAATTCCCCCTCCTTAACTCTCCCTCTCAAGAAAGCATACCTGGATACCAGAGAGGGATGAGGTTGTTAAGCACTCTGGCTTTATGATCATCATTAGTCAAAAATGCTTTTATGGTTAGAGGCTTAGCTTTGACAGGTGAGGTATTTTCAATAAATTTGCCTTAAATATTGACACATTTATTACAGAGATGCAATCTTAAATCTCAAAGCCTCTTTAGAAATGGCACAAAGTTGTTGTGTTTTTTTGTTTGTTTTTTAACCATAAATCATACTACCTGTAGGGATTTTTTCAGGAGCGGGGGGACTCCTTTCAATGTATATGATACTTGCTCTTTTTATCCTGTTTTCCACAAATTCTACAAGATGGTCAAATTGGTCTAATTTTCTACTTCTAAACTGTTGACCAGATTTAAATGCAAAGGGTTTTTAAGTGTCTTTTAAAAAAAGGTCATCATTCCACATGAAATGCTTAGAATTCTGAGAATTTTTATGGGTGCTTTCAGTTAATTTTATGAGTGAAACACTGTCAGAAGTTACGAGCATGAGTCCAGTTATAGTACAACACCCGCAGTTGTATTAGATGGCTTTGGAAGCTCAAGTGAGGTAGGCATTGTGGACCCATTAGCAGTAGCAGGCGCACAGAAAGGCCCTCTCCATTTAGCTACTGTTATGAGTATTGCTGGCAGAGAGATCACTTTTATTCTCTTTCACTGGGCTACTGAAAGATCAGTTTCAGATCTTATTCACACACACAAAGCTTGACAGTCATCACAACATGTGCTATTCTTTTAAAAGTAAGAAAAAGAAAACCGAAAGACCCACCAAAAAATCATCACTTTTTTTTGTGGGGAGAGGGCTTCATATTCCTTAGGTTGCCTGTTTACCACCATGGACACACAACACTCTGGTAGGGAGATCAGACCCTGGACCATATCTGAACTAAACACATACAATTCCTGTGATACCCTTGGTGGCTTGTTTGTTCTAGTTCTCAGCTGATGTAAGAATTGGGAATTCGGTTTTTTAGAAAGCACTTCTACTGAGCAGACAGCAAAGCTGACGCTTAGCTTTTTTGTTTTTGTTTTTGACACCTACACTTAGCACTGTGGAGTAGAAAATAGAATTACACAGAAGCATTACCAAAAGACTAAAGAAGACCGAAGAATCTTACATTTATTATCAGTGTGTCTCCTTCTTTTATTAACAAGTATATACATTTGATGCTGTGACAGAATCCAAGATAAGAATAGATTAAACATTAAAATTACATGTCTCCCAATCGAAAGATCAGGATTGGTATGATAGCTCTGCTCCATACCATGATGACCCAGACCCACTATTGCTACGCCATGTGTTTCCATGGTCCCCATGGACTGAATGGCTCCCAAGGGGTCCCCAGCAGCAGTGAAGGAAAGGACTGTGTGGTCCACATGGCACACACATAATTCCACTCAGGTCTCCCTGGACACAGCATGGCCCATGGCCACTAGCTTTAAGCAAAGCAGGGAAATTCTTGGCAACAATTTGTTTAGTTAAATCAGATGTTTTACTATAGAAGGAGGCAGAAACAGATTGAAAGATGATTTGCAATTTCTATCACCCTAACATACTTTAAATTGTCTCTAATCCCTTTGCATACTTGGCTTTCCTAATAAAACAACTTTTGTTATGAAAGAGACTTAGAGGGTAAGAAGCTGAGGTATGAAAATGTAATACACAGAAAGTCCCAGAGGAGGGAAACTTGTCAGCCCTTCTGGTTCTCTCAGGTTTTCAGTTCCTGGTTAGTGCTTTTTTTTTTTTTTTTTTTTTTGCTTTTTGGGTTTTTTTTTTTTTTTTTTTTTTTTGAACTTTTTGGGTGGCCTTGCATTTTGTTACACCCCT